CGGCACTTTTGCAGAGGTGAACTGAAAACTCAACGTGGCAGAAAAGCTGCACCTGGAGCAGCCCCATTTTTGTGACTTACTAATTAAACCTGTATGTAGTCACGGGTTGTATTTGCATGTGTTAAACTTCTGTAGTAGCTTCACAGGGGCACACGTGTCGTGTCCCCATTCTGTCCCCTTCTCCCTCTTTGTGCATGGTACTTTAACCCAGGGGCTTACGTAGCCCTTCATATGTCATGTGAATCAAGTCAGTGCGTGTATTTATGATGGGGGTTTATTTATTATGTAGGACTAGAAGCCGGGGGACCCAGTTTCTAGTCCACCCCCAGCCATGGAACCTCACTGGATGATTCTGGGCAGATTTAGCCAAGCCTACCCCACAGGGCTGTTGTGCAGAAAACCGTAGAAGAGGGACTGCCCTATATCCCACCTTTAGTTTTGCAGAAAAGGTGGGATATAAATCTAATAAGTTCATAAATAAATGAACAAGCATAGCTTGCCTAGCTGCGTGGTTTACTGGAAAATGCATCGTTGATTGGATTCGCACAGCACGTTTAGGGCCGGGCTGCAATCCAGATTCCAGAAGACGTCCCACGTTAGCTAAGCAATTCAGCCACTCTTAAAGATAAATCAGAGACTCGGGAGATGAAGTCGTGCACATCCATCCGCCTCTAAACCCCGTATCCAAACCCCAGAAAGCTGCAATTTCTTCCCCCTCCTACCAAACCACAATGGTACATCCCAGAGCCCTCGTTCTCAAACCGTAGGATGAGTCTATTTCCATGGAATAATTTAGGGGTGGGAAAAGGAAGTTATCCCGCGGTACGGCGGGGGGGAGGGACTAGCAGCCGAGCCAATCCCAGCGAGGCTCGGCAGCCGAAAGCCAATCGCGGAGCAGCGTGGCCAATTAACACGTTGAGGGGCGGGGCCCGAGTGGACGCGACTGCGCTTGCGCGCGGGAAAGGCAGGCGGGGAGGGAGGGCGAGCGACAGGAGGGGGAGGATCGCGTCGTTTCGCCTTCCAGCTCTCGGCGTTGGTGGTGGCGGCGGCGGGAGAGGGAGGGGCGGGCGGCGCTGAG